TTACAGTTTTTTTCCAAATAGTTTTAATATATCTCAAAAGCACTTTACGCATTTCGCGCATTTTTTTCACTCGTAATTCGTGTACAAACATCTTTACTTTGGTAAAACGATAAAAACTTTAAGCACAAATTTATGAACTTAATTTTGCGTACAAATAACGTAAAATTAAATAAGATTGATATATGTTATGCTTGAAATAAATAAGGTAAAATCAAACAAGATCTGCTATATATATTTTTTAATTTAATGACCATTTTCAGGCAGTGATTTTCAAACTATAATAACATTATAAGACGATCATTTATTTGATCATATTATTAATTATTAACATCATATGATGATGATTTATTTTAATAATTCATAAAATCGGAGCATAAACGTTCTCAGAGTAATGAAAATAAATAAATAAATAAAATCTGGAAGCACTCAGATTTTATGTTACGCTCAAAGGGACGTTTTTTAACGCTTTGTGTGTTACCTCTATTTATTGAATATCATGTTCTTCGCACGTAAACAACACAAATTCAATTCAACAGTAGTATCACAAAATAATTGAAACGCATATTTTAGAATTTCCGCGCTGGAGATAAAAATGTTATTTTCCGCACAGTGTTGCCATGCTCGCTTTAACTCGTTGAGTTTCTTAATCAACAATTCATTAAAGTTTTACAAATATGAAATGGATTAAAACAAATTCGGCTGTTCGGATGGAGGATTACGTTGTTCAAAATTTGATGGCTCTAAATATCGTCGTTTTTCACAATACGAGAAACATACATGTATTCATTCAGATTATTTATTATTAAATTTCTTTATATATAATACAAGGCGATAATATTTGGTGGCAACAATTTGCAAAGTGAAAACGAGTTTATAATAAAACAGCAGCAAATGCCGTTCGAAACTAATAGCCTTTCTCGACTACCACCTCTTTGGGCTAATAAATAAATTCACAGTAAATAAAAAAATCTTATGCAGAATTAGAATTAAATTAAAAAAAATATCACTATAAAATGTTAGCACAATCAATTATTACAGTTTACAATTTTTGACATTAGAATAAATGTATAAAGGTTATTAAGGTGTTAAAAGTGTTTATCACTATGATTTACTGTGAAAATAATTGAAAAACTCCTTTATAAAATTACGCTATAATATTCACCTATAATCTTAAATAGCAGCACAACTTAGAATTTTAAGCAAAAACTTTAAAAAATTTATTTTTAGGTATTTTAGTATTTTTTATTATTTACACCAATAAAAAGCATAAAAATTATAAGAGAAAATTCTTTGTTTGAAATTTTCTATTAGTTCAGATTTTTTATATATTTTCTAAAAGAAGTAGTTACAAATTTTTTTTCAACATAGGAAAAGCTAAACAAATAGCCAGGCCTGAAAGTATGCAACAGCTTTATAATTATTTGGAAAGTTTAATGCTTGATAAATATGCTAAATTTTTAAAAATCAATCTCAGTTTCAAAAACAAAAATATCTAAAAATTCTAATTTGTGAAATGAGGTGCTACAACCAACTTTTTCTTGACAATTATACCAACTGCAATAGCCAACCATTGTAAGTTTCTGCAAGTCGTCCCTACTCCTCCGGATGTGATCAAGGTGACAGCCGGGAATGCGTCAGAAGAGGGAGAAAAGGCATTTGGGTTAGTCTATTTCTTATAAGGTCCATGAGCGATATCTTATTACTTCGCTGTGCTTCTGTATGTTTGCGGCAAGGCGAAACCGCAAAAAATGGCAGGAATGGGTCCGAAAGATTTATTTAGAGCGACATGTTTGTTCAAAGAGATTTTTTTTATATTTTTAACTGCCTCGTTTGCGAAATGAATATCCGGAATTATTAAATTCCTACTATTAGCTCACACTCTTCCTATATCTTGATCAAATTTTCAGTATATAAAATGCTTTTTATTCATCCACTCAAGTTCAAATACAATTTTTTAAACTTGTAGTGAAAGACACTTGATGTTAATACAGCTTTTTCACGTATTAAAATTTTTAATGAAAAAAAAAATTCTGTTTGTATTTTATTTTATTTATTTATTTGTATTTTTTTAAATTTTTCTCTTTGTGGACCTAAGTAGGAATTGACATAATTTTTTTTTTTTTTGTTTTTTGTATATTACTTGTTTTTTTATTACTTCAGGATGAGTATCGACCAGTTTGACAGACTTGCAGATTCTATATTGTATGAAAATTAGGGTTTATAAAATTTGTTTGGAATGCAGTATATAAAGAGAATTAAATTTCTTAATTTTCTTTATATACACCATCCACCATATACAGTAGACGCTCGTTTTTACGAACTCGTAGGGACTACGAAAACAGTTCGTTAAATCGAGAGTTCGTAATTTAGAAAGGCATCGGAAATTGTTAGTATTTCACATTTTAATGTTTTCGAGACAGGTTAGTGATACTATTCCATGCTTTTATTTATGTATTAGGAATTATTTTTAATAGTATTACTACTTAATAAATGATATCCATTCTATTAAACAAACAAGAAATATAAAATATTTGTAAAACGTACCTTTATTAAGTCATTGAGCAACAAAATAATCACTTATCTTTGTCTGTTTTAAAACAACAGATTGTACAATGCAAGACTCCATCTTCTCTATATTTGTTAGCATTTCACAATTATCACTGGCCTCAAAAAATCGTCTAAGTTCTGACAAGTATTCAGCAGCTTGTTTTAAAGTCGGTCTTGGTGTTACTTCATTTTCTTCTTCTTCTTCTTCTTCTGGATCTGAAAGTCTCTCATTCTCGTTGATTATGCTGCTAATAATATCGTGATCCGATATTTCCTCCGTGCAGATGACATTAGAATCCACATTTAAAAAATCCTCGAATGAAAGTTCTGGCAACTGTGGATTTCTACGGCGAAGTTCATGCATGAGAACCTCATCTTCGTCGTGAGATCTATTGTCATGGATTTCTTCAGTTACGTCTGTTTCTTTAATAAAACCTGCATGTCGAAAGGCTTTAGAAATTGTTTCATCTAAAACATCATTCCATGCACTGATTGATAAATGCATTGCACCAAGAATATCAATCTGATAAGGTTGTTCCCTTTCCAAGCCAAGGATTACTCTTTGCAAGAGCACTGTCTTATATTTTCGCTTGAAACTATTGATTATCCCCTGATCCATTGGCTGTAAAACTGCAGTTGCATTTGGTGGGAGATATTCCACACGGATTGCCTGAAGCCCAGTGACTTCCATGTGTGCAGTACAATTGTCCACGATTAGGAGAACTTTGCGCTTCTCTGCTGAAAAACGGTTATCTAAATCTCTCAACCATTTTTCGTAGATGTTGCCAGTCATCCAGGCCTTATTATTAGCATAATATGCAGCAGGAATCTTCTGAACATTTTTGAAACACCTTGGTTTCAGATATTTTCCAATAAAGAGCAGAGGCAATTTTTGTGACCCAGTCATGTTGGCTGCAATCAAAACTGTAAGTCTCTCTTTAGCTTTATTACCTCCAACACATTTATCTCCTTTGTAAGCTAATGTTCTTTCTGGCAAAATCTTAAAAAACAAAGCCGTTTCGTCCGCATTAAAAACGTCATCTGCAGCATCTGCAGCGTATTCAGAAAGAAGCAATTTCAACTTTTCTTCTTTCCATTCATTTGCTGATGACGTGTCTACTGCTGCACTTTCACCACACACTTTCCGGAAACTCAAACCATTCCGAAATTTAAATTTCTGTAACCAACCATCCGATGCTTTAAAATCTTTGATGTTTAATTTGGAAGCAAAAAAGTGTGCTTGTTCTTTAAGTACATTTCCATCAATTGGAATGTTTAAGCTTCTCATCTTTCGAAACCAAACAAGCAAAGCCCTTTCCAAATTTGGGTGTTTTTGATTCTCGAAAATATTTTCGAGAGGAGGGTCCACATTCATCGTTTCCGTTTTTAGCTCCAAAGATCTTCTCTCTTGCCTTTAAAATCGTCGATAAACTATTTTTAGGAATTCCATATTTCTGAGCAATTTGTGTCTTGCTTAATATTTTTTCGTCAACTTCTTTTAAAATCTTCTTCTTTATTTCAACCGCTAACAAACAAATTCGTTTCTTCATTTGCGACATAGCTCTAAGAATCTTACTTAACAAAAACTGGCCGAATCTCCCTCTCGACTAACGAGACTTCACTGATTGAGTTGTCCAGATCAAATGACTATGACATTACAAAAAGCAACAACTCTCTTTTAGAAGCAACCCAAACCCCTTTAACACGAATGGTCTCACCCCCACCCAACAACATCAGGCCGATGCTCTTCTGAGAGCCTCCCACAACAAACAACACCATAAATTTGTCCTAATTCCCTCTCTTTTCCGCCCCCTCCTTCCTTACTGTACTTCTTCGAATGTTTCGCACTTGCTGCCTCAAAATAGTTGGAGATTTTATTTGACCTTCACACTTCGTCCCAATGAAACACGCAGAAGTATGAAACTGAACTGAGTTCGCAAAAAAGAGATTTTCCTGATTTGTAGTTCGTAAATAAGAGCGCAAAATTACATTACATCTATGGGAGTGTATTCGGGACCATTCGCTAGTTCGTCAAATCGAGAGTGTTCGTAAAAAAGAGGTTCGTAAAAACGAACGTCTACTGTAATAAAACCAACTCCATATTTTTTTAACTCCCCCTCCCTTGGTCTTTTGTTTTTCTTTTTATTTATTTTTGAATTTAGAATGAGGTTCAAACTTTGTACAGTTTATGAGAAATTATGTGCATTATAAAATATGCAATAAAGTAAAAATAAAGAGAGAATTTATAGATGATATATGACAAAGAGATGCAAATTTAAATTTAAATTTTAACTAACACGTATAAAAGTAAAAAAGTAAAAATGCAAATTTAAAGCCAAAATAAAGAAAGAAAGCCAAAATAATTTTGAAAAAATTAAAAAAAAATGAGCAAACAAATAAAAGATTTAATTCTCGAACTAATCTACAATATCATTTAAATTAAGAAGCATAAGTAAATCAGGCAAACCAATCCATGAAAAAATAACTAATTTAGCAAATTAAATTAACCAAAATTTTTTAAAAATCTAAGTGATGATGTTGAGTAGCAGGAGACAACTTATCAAGGGGAAGTTGCTCCACCTACTCTCCTCATTCATGGTTCGTCACCTAGACATTGCTAGAAAACGCTTCAGTTCAGAGATGGTTTTGGGCTGAGGTAGGTCGTTAATTGCTTTGACTCTTTCCGGTAAAGGTTTGACTCCATTCTGGGTGATAAGACATCCAAGAAAGGAAACTGAGGGTTGACCAAGTACACATTTGGATGGATATAGTTTTAATCCATGATCTTTAAGGCGAGTGAAAATCTGACGCAGATGTTGAAAATGTTCTTCCGCATCTGTAGATGCAACCAGGATATCATCAAAATATGGGATGCAGAAATCGAGGCCAGACAGTACTTGGTGTATGAAACGCTGAAATGTTTGGCCAGCATTGCGAAGGCCAAATGGCCTCAAAGAGACCAAATGGTGTAGTCACTGCGGTCTTGGGCACATCTTCAGCATGCACTGGGATCTGATGATATGCTCTGGCAAGATCGAGGGTAGAAAATATGTTTGTTCCATGAAAAAGATGGGTACAGTCTTGGATATGTGGGACTGGATATCTGTCAGGGACTGTGACGGCATTAAGTCGACGATAATCTCCACAAGGCCGCCAGTCACCATTAGACTTTTTAACCATGTGAAGTGGACTGGCCCATGGACTTTTAGATGGGCGAATGGTTCCCTGTGCTAGCATGAATTCAAATTCTTTGCGAGCAGCTTTTAGCATCTCTGGAGAAAGACGACGAGGCTTGGAAAATACAGGTGGGCCATGTGTTTCAATGTGATGATACACTTCTGGCTGATGAGTATGCTGCCCTGATTTGGATGGGTTTAAAATGTCAGGGAATTCTGCTAATAACCGATGAAACCGTGTGCTGCCCGATACAACACTTATGTTGGTAGGTACGTTCGATATGTGAGAAGCTTGGCCCTGTGATGTCAGCTGAGTTGTAGCATCAATTAAGCAATTATTCTTGACATCCACTAGAAGGTGGAAATGTGTCAAGAAGTCGACACCAATAATTGCTTGAGTTACATCCGCAATAATAAAAGGCCAGTTGAAAGTCCGGCGCAAGTTTAAATCAAGTGTCAATAGTTTGGTGCCGTAGGTTGCAATTTGGGTACCATTGGCTGCATACAGTACAAGTTTATTAAGTTGGTGAGCATTTGTTTTAGTTCTCGGGAGCACTGATATGTCAGCTCCAGTATCTACTAGAAAACATAACTGAGTTGAACGATCAGCCAGTACTATTCTGTCGATGTGGCGGACATTCTGTTGGCCAGCAGAAGACCGCCCATTTAGTTTCCCGCTTGTTCAAAAGTGCATGGAGGGGCACACTTGCGAGCTTGAGAGCCAAAATTCATATGATAAAAACATATGCCACTTGTGGGTTCTTTGTACTGCGTTCGAGTATTGTGACGAGATCGACTCCTGCTTCGGGCACGAAATTTATTACGTGGGCCCTGATTTGATCGATTGTATCTCCGTGAAGCATGAAGACTTGTAGAGAGTTCAGATACTTTTTTGGTCAATTCAGCCACTTGTTGTTCGAGGGATGAACTGGAAGGTGCAGCATTAGCAGCACTGACATAAGCTGGAGTAACAAGTTCATTAATTTTGTCAGCCATTGCTGCTAAACGGGTTAGATCTTCATTGGAAGCAGCAAGAATTATTTGTATGTTATTAGGGAGACGCGAAAGCCATAGTGACTTCAACAAGTCGTCACTAAAATGGCTTCCTGCCAGATCACGCATTCGTGACAGCAAGTATGAAGGTCGCTGATCTCCAAGTTCAAGTCCTTGTAGTAAAGTACGTATTTTTGAAGATTCACTTTCTGAATAGATTTCAATGAGCCGCTGTTTCAGTTTGGAGTATTTATCACAATCAGGTGGTTTGAGAATTAAGTCATGCACTGAATTCAGAATATCAGACTCAATTGCTGCAACTACATGGTTGAATTTTGTAGAATCCTCACTAATGCGAGCGATAGAAAATTGTGCTTCGATCTGAGCGAACCACAATGAAGGATTATTTTTCCAGAAAGGCGGTGGCTTCACCGCAACGCGTGTGATTTGTGGCTCTGGTGGAATATCGTCGGGCATACTGATAGATAATTTTCACTTTAATTAATAAACACTTAACAGCACAAATATTGTAGCATGAGGATACACTATTGATATTTTACCATGATAACAATAAATATTTTAACCATGCAGAAAAAATTTACGTAACGATACACACACAAATAAGACAGGGTCAGCAGCAATTACACACACAAATAATATTTTACCGAAATGCATTTGAAAAGAAACCCCTATTTGAGAAAAAAATGATGCGTTCATTTTGTATTGCGCACACACAAAATCACCACTTCACACTGCTAAGGCACTTTCGAAGGAAAAAGGAAATCACTCCTGTAGCACATGGGAAAAAATTCACTACTTTCGAACACTGAGGGAAGAATTTTGCCGTAGCACGTTGCAGAAAAATTACTGATGTAGCACATTTAGCGAAAATCACTATTGTATCACATTTGTCACAAAAGTTGAATGATCGAAGAATTATTGCACGACTGGCGAAGTCAGCGGAACGGAACAGATCACATTGATGATTTGCTGAAGCTCCTTGCGATGATATGCACGACTTTGAAAAAAAAACACAAGCAATATATATCAATACTTCTAGAAATAATTGAAGGGGTACGTTGTAGCATACGTTTAATGTCCATATTCGTTGTTATTTTTAGTCAGTTCTTCAGAATGCCTTGGATGCACGTGGCTTAGGGTCGTTGAAAATCCATTGTCAGTAGCGTGCTCAGTCAAAAGGTCACCACTTTTGGTGGTCGTGTGCTTAATGCATGATATAATTAAAGAAAATAAGAGTAGACAATCTCCTATAACAAAAGAATATATTAAGTACTAAATTACAAATTAAATTACATTACAGAGCTCGGAACACAGTTCATGCTACCGTCGCGTACAGTTGTCTGAGTGAGTAATGACGTCGCTTTGCTGCTCCGATTAAGAACTGGATTTTACACGTGGCGCCATCTCATGAATAGAAGTTAAAGTATCTGTCGGAACGCCACATATACCATAAAGGCAGTAGTTTCTTTCAGAACATTCGGATTCGTATAATATGTGTAAATGTGACGAATAAAATATACCATCATGGCGGTAGTTTTATCAGTACATTCGGATTCGTATAATTTTCGTAAAAATAACGTGTGGAAAATAACGATCAAGAGTCAACAGTAACTTCAGCCTTTTTCATTCGTATAAATTTCGTAAAAGTAACGTGCAAAAAATACCATACCCTTATTTCACCAAAATTATACGTATATTTTTGGAGACGTGCTGCCTGGGATATGTTTCTGAGGTCATATTTAATGGCTCAAAACATGGAATGTTTCTGTATATAACTGAATAATTTAGGAAAATTTTGAATGTCATTAGAATCCTTTAAAGGTCTTATTTTCAATAATTTATCTATATGGGCGTTTATCAATACATCTTTATTTCCAAATCCTTCTGTGAGAAGTTTTACTGAATTTTCATAATTTTCTTCGGTTAGATCGAAACCTTCAATGGTGTTATAAGCAGTACCTCCCCAAAAGGATTTCAAATAATTAAATTTACTTGTAGCGTCAAGCGTTTTATTTTGGTGTATGGTTGATGAAAAAGTGTTCAAAAATGTCAGCCATTCACAGCTCTCACCATAAAACTTCGGAATCGTAAGTTTAGGAAGCTTTAGATTCTGACTTTCGGTTTTAACGTTTTCTATCATACTTTCACTTAACTGTTCAGTGCTTTTTAACACGCTCAATTTTTGTTGTTCTGTATTAATTTCTTTAAATTTTTTGTTAGCTTTGTATTTAAATGTAGTTATTCTTTCACGATATTCGTCAACACCGTTTAATTCCTGGTATAGATCCTTTATGTCTATTAATTGTTCTATATCAGCATCTGTTTGTTTTAACTCCTTTTATTTTTCATTTAACAGTTCTAAGGAAATTTCTAGTTCCTCTGCGTTCACTTCTGTTTTGATAATTCAGTTTCGATTCGGCCAATTACTTTTGTAAGGGCTGCCCTTTTGGCCGCGTTTCCTTTTCAATGTATCGATTAATTCCGTCATTATTTAATATTCAAATAATTCAACAAGTATCAGCAATTCACTAATTATTAATGCTTATGTAATATCTATATCACCGATATCAATTTAGACAATTTCAATAGTTAGGAAAACAGCAGCTATCAAGTCCCTGTTCGGGCGCCATGCTAAAAATTTTATCAACTTTTTACTATTAAAATTTTTAGATCACTGAATAGATAAGTGAAAATTCACTTACCTTCTAAAGGGCTGCCCTGAACTACCTTGCTTAGGTTTTGATACCCGTTAGTTGCTGATGTTCTATTCACAGCGGAACACTACCATAAAATTTTTTTAAGAAACTTTAATTAACATATGAAACAAATTTACATAATATTTACAAGTTACAATCAATACAAAGATTATGTTTCTAATATATATGGAGACGGTCTACCGTTTCGACTTTTGTTAGACGTGTCACCCGTTAAACTAATTACTTTTTGTCTTTTCCGCCAGAGGGTTTTCGTGCAAGCTGAGTTATTAGAACACAAACGTGACAAACGTATTCCTCCTCCGCATATGGGCATCTGGAAGCCTAAATTTGGAATTTGTTTTATTATCGATATCATATTTTGTATCACTTTAACGAATTTTTGAGTAAGAATCTCAACGATTTCAAAGAGAGCACTGGCATCACTGTACGAGGGGGGGGGACCACATTTTTTATCTCCAGCGTGCGAGACTGCGCATCGGAAATTCAAAAGATATCTTCATTTTAAAATTATTTTGCGATATTGCTGTTGAATTGAATTTTACGTTTTAAGTACGAAGAACATGATATTAATTAAAAGGGTAACACTATTGTAGTAACAACTCTGTATCAGACAAGCGACAACTCAACTCTTATGTTTACTCAAGTATCACGGCTGTAGCATGCAGTAATAAACGATTACGTTGCTTGCTCTTAATATGCATTTTAGTTATTTATTTGTAAATTGCTTTTTGTTTTAGCTCATATTGATTTATCGATAACCGCAACAGGTTATGGGCTCAGCGTGTTTTAAATCTGCTAAAATTTTTGAAAAGCGAAGTGAACCGCGTGCTAGACGCTATGGATTTGAAAGTACAAATCGACAAACTAGAAGGTGCGGAAAATTGGTGAAAGTGGAAGTGGCAAATGAAAATGCACTTTAAACAATATGATCTCACGTCAATTATTGATGGAACTAAAATTTGTCCGATCGCTGTAAAGGGCGATGATAGTGCGGAAGAGCACGTGAAGAAGGTGGCTGAATGGCGGCGTGATAACGTTAAGGCAGCCGCGCTTATTGCAAGTACGTTGAGCGCTTCTGTAGCCGATTTATTGGTGACGTACTCGAATGCAAAGGACATTTGGGACAAATTAATTAGTGTTTTTGAGCAAAGCAGTATTCAGAGACTTAACTTATTGATGACACAATTTTTTCAAGTCGGTAGAGATACTAATGACAATGTTGCTACACATGCAGCTAAAGCTGAAAGAATCTACACAGATATGAACGGTGAATTAAATCGTATAAGATCAAGTAATATTCCAGAAGAATTATTGCATGGCAAAATATTGCTTACTGTGGGTCCAAAAGTCCAGGAATTCAGCAATGTTTGGGAGTCTCTAGACTGTGATAAACGAACAACCAGGAATCTTGTTGAAAAATTTTGTACAATTGAACAACGTGTTAAATCTAATGCTGCTTCGGATTATGGTGCATTTGCAGCTCGTGTGCCTGGTTTTAACTAAAAAATCTGTGAAAAATGGGGAAAGACTTCCTGAAAGTACTCCTGTAGGTAATAAATCTAGTAATTTTAAGCAAAAGAACTGTTTTAAGTGTGGTTCGAATACACATCTTTGTAAGGACTTGTTGCACGTGGTTGCGGCTGTGTGCAACAACAAACTATGCGTATTGGAATTTCCCAGTGCTTTTAAGGATGAATTCATAACATGCCATAAAAGCCAATTTTTGATAACAAAAACATTTAATCACATCACAATATTAAAACTTAATTACTACAGTCGACAGACAATCACGTTGGAGGAAAGCGAGCGACCAACCGCACCGACGACGAGACGTGACTGTGTGTCGCCGAAATCACCTTCGGTTACAGTTAGTGATAACGGCGCGCGGTTGGCGAGTACAACACATGTTTACAGAGTCGCCACAGACTGATCTAAGAGAAAGTCAAATGTCTCAAAGCATAATACAGGTGCATTTGCCGCTAGTGCAAACAGTACACACCCTGATGTTTGGGTCTGTGATTCTGGTGCTTCACACCACATGACTACTAACAAACAGAACTTTACTTCGTACGAACATTTTCCTGTGGCTATTGAGGTATCACTTGCTGAAAATAACAAGATCTATGCATATGGTTCTGGAGGAATAAACATTGAAGTTTGTATTCAAGGTAAATGGTATGATGCTCACATGCAAAAATGTCTGGTATGTTCCTGATGTGAAACGGCATCTCTTCTCTGTACAGCAGACTACCAAGCACGGAGTTGAAGTAAAAATGACTGAAAGGTATGCTGAATTTTTTCGTAATGAAGAACTTGTTGCAGTTGGATCCTGGAGAGATGGCACATACATTAAGTCTATGAGGATTGTTATCCCAGCAAGTCCAGCTGAGATAAGTATTGCTACAGAGACTGAATCTTTGCAACTATGACATGAACGCCTTGGTTACCAAAATAAGCGGTACGTTCGAAGACTGCTAACTGATATGGGCATATCTGGAAGTTTATGCAGTGACAAGTGAATTTTGTGATGGATGTGCTCTTGGAAAAGCTCATCGAAAACCCTTCAAGTCACGTCCCTATAGAGCGATGTCAACTGGTGAAATCATTAATGCTGATGTTAATGGCCCTATGTCTGTGGGCTCCTTTAGTGGTGCAAGATATTACGTTTGTTTTAAACATGACTATAACAAATATCGTAAAATCTTCTTTTTGAAAAAGAAAAGTGATTTTAGTTGTTGCCTACGTACATTTCTCAATTAAGCCACTAATCTTGGCCATGTTGTGAAAAGTTTCCGCTGTGATGGAGGAGGAGAATTTGACTGTGGTGAAGTTCAAAACATACTTGCTGAAAAAGGTATAGCACTAACCCTCAGTGTACCATACTCACCAGAGCCAATGGCGCAGCAGAGAAGGAAAACCGAACAATTGTTGAACTGGCTCATTCTATGCTTGCAACAAGTGCATTGCCTCGGTCACTTTGGGCCAACGCATGTGACACCGCAGTGTATCTGCTAAATCACACTGGTTTATCCCCAGATGAAAGCAAAAGTCCCCATGAGCTTTGGACTGGTGAGCCAAAAACTAAACTTGACCACCTGAAAGTATTTAGAACCGAATGCTGTGCACATATACCAAAGATCTTCAGACGTAAGTTTGAAGACAAAAGTGTTCGTGGTCATTTTGTGGGGTATGTAAACAAGAAAGATGGTTATAAGATCTATCTGCCCTCTCAGAAGAAAATCATACAATCTCGATATGCTGACTTCAAACCAGAACGTTTGTGCACCACTCTTGTGACAGTGGAGGTGAAGGAAGACTTAAATGAAAGGTATGAAGAAACTCGGAGTGAAGAACGTAATCTATCCAAAGAACAAGAGCCTCTTAGAAAATCTGGAAGAAGCCGAAGCTGTCCTGCATGGATGAAATTCGGAGAATATCTGATGGTAAACATAGCTGCAGTAGAAGAATTTGAAAACAGTGAAAATCCATCCACATATTCCGAAGCTCTTTCGTCAAGTGAAAGTGACCTGCGGCTAGAAGCCATGAAAGAAGAAATAAAAGCCTTTCATGAAAATGAAACATGGGAACTTGTTGAGAGACCCACAGGTTCCAAAGTTATCAACTGTCGATGGGTGCTGAGGAAGAAATTTAATCCAGATGGTACTGTGGAGCGACACAAAGCTCCTCTTGTAGCCAAGGGTTATGCCCAAAAAGCAGGATTTCATTACGACGAGACATACAGCCCTGTTGCAAGATATGACACTGTGAGAGCTTTTTTTGCTGTAGTGGCAAAAGAAAATTTGTACTTGCAGCAGTTTGATGTAAAGACTGCATTCTTGTATGGAACCCTTAAGGACACAACCATTCTTCATGACACAACCAGAAAGCTTCAATGATAATAGTGGGCGAATCTGTAAATTGCATAAAAGTTTATATGGACTCAAACAAGCACCCCGTTGCTGGAATCAGTGTTTTGTGAATTTTCTGAAAGACCAGGAAGTGGAAGTTAGTACAGCTGATCTTTGCTTGTTTATCAGACACAGAACTGAAAAAAAAACTCCTTGTTGTTATCTATGTAGATGATGGCCTTGCTGCTGGGACAGACAAAGTTGAAGTGGAGGAGTTTATGAGTCTACGGCTTGGTCAACTTGGTCATTCTTTTCAGATCACAAGGGTTCATGGAACCAGTTTCTAGGTATGAACATAATAATATTGAATGATGGTTCAATTTTTGTGAATCAGTGTGCCTATTTGAAAAAGAGTTTTCTCAAAATTTCATATGGACTCCGCCAATCCAGTGCCAACTCCGAGTGACAAAAGCTTTGTTTTTGATGACACAGAAAACAAACTGATAAGAAAAGAAGTCCCTTATCGCCAGGCGGTTGGCAGTCTGATGTACCTTGCAACTGCTACAAGACCTGATTTACTTTATGCTCTAAGCATTGTTTCTGAAAGTCTTGAAAATCCCAGGACAATGCTGTAAAGCGAATTTTTAAATATCTAAGAGGAACTGTAGATTTTGGCCTATTATATCAAGCAAAGTGTCATCCCAATGAGCTTGAAGTGTACAGCGATGCTGATTATGCAGGTGCTCAAGAACTGGAATGGTCTCTAAATTTTCATGTGGAGCCTTCTCGTGGAAGAGCCAAAAGCAGAAGAGTGTGGTGTTATCTACTACAGAGGCTGAATATGTTGCTGCAAGTGAGAATGCTAAAGAACTAATTTTGCTGAAACATCTGCTCAGTGACATAACAAATCTCGAAACTCCCTCTCTTCTCGTAGATAATGCTAGTGCTGTGAAACTTGCCAAGAATCCTGAATACCATAAATATTCATCCAAGCACATAGATGTCCGTCATCACTTTGTGCGAGAAAAATTCATTGATGGTGAACTGTTCATCAAGCATGTTCCTGGTAAAGTGCAATTAGCAGACATCATGACTAAACCATTGCCTAGTGTTAGGTTCAAAGAACTGTATACCTTTTTAGGATTGTTTTCATTTAATAGTCTTGTTAATGAATGTTAATTTAATCTTAAATAAGTTGTGGCTTGTGGAGGAAGTATTGTAGTAACAACTCAAACTTTGTATCAGACAAGTGACAACTCAATTCTTATATTTACTCAAGTATCCCGACTGTAGCATGCAGTAATAAACGATTACGTTGCTTGCTCTTAATATGCATTTTAGTTATTTATTTGTACTTTATTAATTGATTTTTGTTTTAGCTCATATCGATTTATCGATAACCTCAACAAACACAGGAAACGTTAAAAAAACGCCCGTCTGAAAGCTTTCAGATTTTTTTTGGCCTAACTTTAAAATGCTGTAATTATAATTATCTCAGAAAGAGTAATAGAATTCTTCCCCTTAGTATCCAGATGAATAAAAGGTAATGAATGCCATAGTTTTTTCCTTCATGATTTGATAAATGCACAGGGAATAAAACCTACAACTTTTAAGAAAACGTAGCATATTTTATCTATTATTTTAAATAAGTATATAAATAAATATAATAATTATAAATAAGTATTTTTAGCTTTTTAAACGTCATAAAATCTTACAGTAATGACATTTTCTCTTCTTTTTTCTATTTTTTCAAGCTATTTTTTCATGCACAGTTTTCTTAAGGCTGTTTCTGCAAATTTAAAATGTTTAATTCTTCGCCGCGAATTGAGTCTTTGCAGTCAATGTCAACATGGTTATGTCCTCACTCCTCACTTCCTGTTTCACGGGGGAAAGCTGTATGGATTACACCTTCTCTTTTAAGTTCTGGGGTACGCCGACTTCAATATGAATCGTAAATTCCATTTTATGCATCCAAAAGGTCATACACAAAATGTTGAAGAGCTGTAGGGTTTTACCAAGCGGCGAAATAAGAAACAACGAGGTGCGACTTATCTTGAGTACTGTCTAAGGGAATCTGTATGGCGAGTCCTTAGGACAAGAAAATGCATATTAAACCAGTCCCAGAAATATGGCAATTAAGAACTCTACGTAAGAATTTAACATGAAATTGGAGCCATTATGATGGAAACTATAAAGATAGAAATATTAAAAATCCTCACTTTCAGATACCCTCTCCAAGTTGATCACTCAGAATTCGCAAGTAAACCTTCTCTCCTGTGATACTGGTTTCCGAGAAAACCATATATTTTCGGTAAGCTTATGTCATGAGTAGAAAAACCGTGAAATATTAGGGACAGAGGGACAAGTGTTTAAGAGTTATAGGGCCCACAAAGTATCAGAAAAGTGTTGGAAACATAAACCCAAAATTCGCAAAAATGCTCGTTTCACGTATTTACATATGAATTACTAATATGGTAAAAAGGGGACCTCAATATAAAGGAAGAAACAACTCATTGAAAAGAAACAACAGATGTAGGGATGTTGAAAATGTGACTTATTATTGACTTCAAACCAAATCTATCACAAGAGACAATGTGCAATTCATCAAATAAACAGTGAGATGGGCAGAAAGACAGTTCACAATGGGCACATTTT